TAGGGCCACAGAATCGTTACTTAGGGACACAGAATCGTTACTCAGGGACACAGAATTGTTACTCAGGGACACAGAATTGTTACTCAGGGACACAGAATCGTTACTCAGGGACAGACACAGAATTGTTACTCAGGGACACAGAATTGTTACTGAGGGACACAGAATCGTTACTCAGGGGACACAGAATTGTTACTCAGGGACACAGAATCGTTACTCAGGGACACAGAATTGTTACTCAGGGACACAGAATTGTTACTCAGGGACACAGAATTGTTACTCAGGGACACAGAATTGTTACTGAGGGACACAGAATTGTTACTCAGGGACACAGAATTGTTACTCAGGGACACAGAATTGTTACTCAGGGACACAGAATTGTTTACTCAGGGACACAGAATCGTTACTCAGGGACACAGAATCGTTACTGAGGGACACAGAATTGTTACTCAGGGACACAGAATTGTTACTCAGGGACACAGAATTGTTACTCAGGGACACAGAATCGTTACTCAGGGACACAGAATCGTTACTGAGGGACACAGAATTGTTACTCAGGGACACAGAATTGTTACTCAGGGACACAGAATTGTTACTCAGGGACACAGAATTGTTACTCAGGGACACACAGAATCGTTACTGAGGGACACAGAATCGTTACTGAGGGACACAGAATTGTTACTCAGGGGACACAGAATTGTTACTCAGGGACACAGAATTGTTACTCAGGGACACAGAATCGTTACTCAGGGACACAGAATTGTTACTCAGGGACACAGAATTGTTACTCAGGGACACAGAATCGTTACTCAGGGACACAGAATCGTTACTGAGGGACACAGAATTGTTACTCAGGGACACAGAATTGTTACTCAGGGACACAGAATTGTTACTGAGGGACACAGAATCGTTACTGAGGGACACAGAATTGTTACTCAGGGACACAGAATTGTTACTCAGGGACACAGAATCGTTACTCAGGGACACAGAATCGTTACTCAGGGACACAGAATCGTTACTGAGGGACACAGAATCGTTACTGAGGGACACAGAATTGTTACTCAGGGACACAGAATCGTTACTCAGGGACACAGAATTGTTACTCAGGGACACAGAATCGTTACTCAGGGACACAGAATCGTTACTCAGGGACACAGAATCGTTACTGAGGGACACAGAATTGTTACTCAGGGACACAGAATTGTTACTCAGGGACACAGAATTGTTACTCAGGGACACAGAATCGTTACTCAGGGACACAGAATTGTTACTCAGGGACACAGAATTGTTACTCAGGGACACAGAATTGTTACTCAGGGACACAGAATTGTTACTCAGGGACACAGAATTGTTACTGAGGGACACAGAATTGTTACTCAGGGACACAGAATCGTTACTCAGGGACACAGAATTGTTACTCAGGGACACAGAATTGTTACTCAGGGACACAGAATCGTTACTCAGGGACACAGAATTGTTACTCAGGGACACAGAATTGTTACTCAGGGACACAGAATCGTTACTCAGGGACACAGAATCGTTGAATTAAAGAGTATGTCAGACAACACGCAGAGGAGTGGCAGAGGAGGCAATGTTTCAGGAGCGAGCAGACGTGGCAGCAGAGGAAGGGGTCGAGGCAGCACTAGTCGCAGCCAGAGGCCAGTGCTCCCGGTGTCATCCAGCGGTCGTGTCTCCACCGACAACCCTGCCGTCATCGATTGGTTGGCTCGGTCGTCTTCCTCTTCCCAGGTCACCTCTGACACCTACAGCCAACGGTCGGTGGGTACGTCAGACACAACCGTTAGTTGGCATGGCCCGGGAGCAAGCCCACTGAAATCACGTGTCCTCTACCTGCCCCTGTCCTTTGGTGTGTTCCCTCACCAAGCGAAGTATCGCATGCTGTGGGCTCAGCCCCACTGTACAGTGAGGAAGAGCTAACAGAGGGCGGTCAGGAACGGGGGGAGACATCCGCCTCTTCAGCAGCCAGGCGAAGAAGTACTGGCGAGGAGAGTGGCTCGGTAGCCGGTCTAGAGACAGGTCTGTCTCCTGACCCACACGCAGCCGAGGGGGCTAGTAGTGAGGCGGAGACCCTAATTGATGATGATGAGGCTGATCGCACTTGGCAGCCTCGTCGTCATCAGGCTATTGCTTCCGCATCATCAGGAGAAGAGGGTGCCAGCTTGGCAGCGAGCAAAACAGTCGGTGGGTTTGCCCAGGAGGCAGCAGGGTCGCAGCAGTGTCAGTGGAGGCAAACGGCCACGGAGTAGAGCACCAGCTCCACTGCAGCCTACCACCACGGCCAGTAGTGGTGCCGGTGTGTGCACGGAGGAAGTAGCAGTCAGCCAGTGAGGAGTAGCGGGGGCAAAGTTTCCTACTCGGCGGTGTGTGGCAATTTTTTCGTCAAGCCGCCCGAGGAAGTAAACGTAGCCGTATGTCGACTATGTGGCCAGAAAGTCAAGCGTGGCCAGGGGGCCCATGTTGGGACTACAGCGTTGCGTCAGCATATGCAGCGTCGCCATTCGGTGGCCTGGGAAAACCGTGATAAAGATACGGCGGTTCTGCCTGCCCCAGCCCCCGCTCCATCACCCGCTCCGTTACTTGCTCCGTCACCCGACGTCAATCGCCCTCTATCAGCCAGTCAAGGCTCCAACACCTCTGCTGAGGGGAGTTGTCGCTCGTTGGCATCTTCCGCTCGTTCAGATGCTCCTTCTCCTGCTACTCCTCTTCACGGATTCCGTCAGCAGTCTTTCTTGGAATCCGTTTCCAAGAGACAACAGTTTGCGAGCACGCACACCCGACGGTGCAGAAGCTGAACGTCCTCCTGTCCAAGTTGCTGGTGCTGCAGTCCCTCCCTTTCCAAGTGGTGGACTCAGCACCTTTCCGAGAAATGATGGCTTGTGCCGAGCCGCGGTGGAGAGTGCCAAGCCGGCATTTCTTCGCCAAAAAGGCAGTGCCAGCCCTGCATTCACATGTAGAAGAGATGGTGGGCCAGTCTTTGAGCATGTCGGTCTCTGCCAAAGTGCACGGCAGCGCCGACGTGTGGAGCTGTAACTACGGTCAGGGACAGTACATGTCATTTACGGCCCACTGGGTGAACGTGGTGCCGGCACAGCCGCACCAGCAACTTGGACAGGTCACGCCCGCTTTTGCCTCCACGTTTGCACGTCCTTGGTCCAGCAAAGATGTCCGCCTCTACCACCTCTTCTTCCGCCGTGTCCTCAGCCGCCACCCCCGTGCCAAGTCCCATTACCCGACCGGCATATCACATGTGCAGGGCGCAACGGTGTCACGCTGTGCTGCACCTGGTATGCCTTGGCGAACGTAGTCACACAGGGGAGGAACTTCTGAGTGTAATGAACAGAGAAATCGACAGATGGCTGTCTCCGCGCAAACTGAAAATCGGAACCATGTTGACCGACAACGGAAAGAACATGGTGTCTGCTCTGCGTCAAGGAAGGTTGTGCCATGCGCCATGCATGGCTCACGTGTTCAATCTGGTTGTCAAGCGGTTCCTAAAATCCACCATCCCACTGCAAGACATCCTTAAAATGTCACGTAAACTTTGCATGCATTTCAGCCATTCCTACACCGCAAAGCACACCCTCCTTGAGCTGCAGCGGCAGAACGGAATTCCACAGCATCGCCTGATCTGCGACGTTGCAACAAGGTGGAATTCAACCCTACATATGTTAGACCGCCTTTACGAACAGCGAAAGGCCATCACCGATTTCCTGATGTTACAAGCGGATAAAGGTACTCCCCTGTGTAACTTAGATGTCAGCCATTGGCAGCTCATGCGTGACACCTGCCGCTTGCTCAGGCCCTTTGAGGAGGCCACGCTATTCGTGAGTCGGCAGGACTATGGGATGAACGACGTCATTCCTCTGTTGCACGTCCTGGAACAAATGCTGTTAACAATGGCTGGTCAGGGTGCGGTAGACGTGGCGCACAGATCTCAACGCCACATGACCCCTGTGGGGGCAGGACAGGAAGAAGAGGAGGAGGTAGAGGAGGACATTGGTGCTCAGGAATTATTGAGTGAAATGGGTGGTTTTTCCACTCAGCGGACAGGAGTGGAGGAGCAGGAGCATCTGGTAGAGGAGGAGGAGGAGACAGAGGACCCAGACGCACCGTGGCAGTATGCTGTGGAGATGGAGGCAGGGAGTCCCTCGCATTCCTTGGCACAAATGGCCCATAGCATGCTCGGTTGCTTGCGTAGCGACAGCCGAATAATAACCATCAGACAGAGGGATGACTTTTGGCTGTCCACCTTGTTGGACCCTCGCTACCGTTCAAAAATGGTGGCCTTTTTCACACCTGCTGAGAGGGAGGCCAAAATAACGTACTATAAAAACCACCTATGTAGTCAGTTGGTCTCTGCCTTTCTGCGCCAACGTCCATCCTCAGACACTGTGGGCCCTGTGCGCTCGCGTTCCGCTGCCATGGCAGCAGGGGAGGGGTGGGGTGGTAGGAGCAGTGGCAGCTCCACCAGCAGCGGCTGCCTCAGTCTGCAGTCGATGATGAGTAGCTTTCTTCACAGCGCAGTGAGGAAACTACTAACCAGCCGCAGCAGCAGCAGCAGCATCAGGTGGACCTGGAGCAGGACCTCAAACAACAGGCTTGGGCCTACTTGGACAGCACCCTGCCAACCGAGGTAGACAATCCCCTTGACTACTGGGCAACGAAACTTGACCTTTGGCCCCAACTAGCTGAATTTGCCCTTGAAAGGCTGTCATGCCCGGCCAGTAGCGTGGCATCGGAGCGCGTGTTTAGTGCGGCAGGAGGTATTGTAACTCCGCGGAGGACACGACTGTCCACCCAAAGTGTGGAGAGACTCACGTTTGTGAAAATGAATCAGGCGTGGATTAGTCTGGATTTCAAACCACCAGTTCCTGACACAACTGACTAAATCCGCCATGAATCATGCCCCAAACATGTTATTATTTTCCTAACATAGGTCTGTATGGCCTTCAATTTAAGCTGCTTCGCTTCGCCACTCTGCCATGGGCCCCTGTACCGCCTCCTCTTGCTGCTGCCAGGTCCTGAGTGTGTCATGGGTCCCTGTACGGCCTCCCATTGCTGCTGTCTCCATCGCCACACTCTGCCATGTGCCACTTTCAGGTCTCCTCACACTGCTGGTGGGTTCCATTTTGTCATAGGGTGCTGGCATTACGGGCCTCCCATTGCTGCTGCCAGGCCTGTAATCTGCCATGGGCCCCTGTACCGCCTCCTCATGCTGCTGCCAGGTCCAGAGTGTCTCTCATGGGTCCCTGTACGGCCTCCCATTGCTGCTGTCTCCATCGCCACACTCTGCCATGTGCCACTTTCAGGTCTCCTCACACTCCTGCTTGGTTTCCATTTTTGGTCATAGGAGTGCTGGCAGGATTACGGGCCTCCCATTGCTGCTGCCAGGCCCGGTAATCTGCCATGGGCCCCCGTAACCGCCTCCTCATGCTGCTGCCAGGTTTCCAGTAGTGTCTCATGGGGTCCCTGATACCTCCCCTTGCTGCTCCATCACTCTGCATGTGCCACTTTCAGGTCTCCTCACACACTGCTGGTGGATGTTTCCCATTTTTTGTCACCCCTTAGGGTGCTGGCAGATTAACGGGCCTCCCATTGCTGCTGCCAGGCCCCTAATCTGCCATGGTGTCCCCTATACCGCCCTCCTCAGTGCTGCTCGCCAGGTCCACAGTGTCTCATGGGTTCCCTTACGGCCTCCCATTGCTGCTGTCTCCAATCGCCACACTCTGCCATGTGCCACTTTCAGGTCTCCTCACACTGTCTGGTGGGTTCCCATTTTGTCATAGGGGTTGCTGGCAGATTACTAGGGCCTCCTATAGCTGCTGCCAGCCCCCCCCTAATCTGCCATGGGCCCCACGTACCGCCTCCTCATGCTGCTTGCCAGGTCCAGATTGTGTCTCATGGTCCCTGTACGGACCTCCCATTGCTGCTGTCTCCATCGCCACACTCTGCCATGTGCCACTTTCAGGTCTCCTCACAACTCCTGTTGGTTCCATTTTGTCATAGAGTGCTGGCATATTACGGGCTCCCTGATAGCTGCTGCAGGCCCCTAATCTGCCATGGCACCCCGTTACAGCCTCCTCATGCTGCTGCCAAGGTCGCATATCTGCTCTCATGGTACCCTGAACTGTACGCCCTCCCATTGCTGCATGTCTCCATCGCCCATACTCTGCCATGTGCCCACTTTCAGGACTCTCACCACTCCAGCTGGGTTCCATTTTGTCATAGGCTTGCTGGCCGATTAACGGGCGTCTCCCATTGCTGCTGCCAGCCCCGTAATCTGTCATGGGCCCCCCCCGTACCCGCATCACTCATGCTGTTGCCAAGGTCCAAAGTGTCCTCATGGGTCCCCTTTACGGCCTCCCATTGCTGCTGTCTCCCATCGCCACACTTTGCCCATGTGGCCACTTTCAGGTCTCCTCACAATGCTGCTGGGTTCCATTTTGTCATTAGGGTGCTGGCAGATACGGGCGTCTCCCATTGCTGCTGCCAGGCCGCTAAATCTGCCAAGGGCCCCCGTACCGCCTCCTCATGTGCTGCCAGGCCGAATTTTTCATGGGCCCTGTACCCCCTCCCATGCTGCTGCCCAGCCAATTGCCATGGGTCCCTTTAC